TTATATCTTATTTGTATCTTATATATATACTATATTAAAGAATCCTAAAATGTATGTATGATTTTAAAATTATAATTAAATATGAAATATAACTTTTGTAAATTTTCGTAAAATTTAATATTAATATTAAATAATTTTCTTATATATGTTTTAAGACCTAAACAATTTAAAAATATTACTTAGAAAAAAACAACAACAAATATTGCTGGAAATATTTGGTATACACATATGTATAAATTGAAAATCCCATAAATTACGACAAGAAAAAAATATTAACCTAAACATGAATAATTAACATATATATTATTGTTTCATTTGTCGCTAAAGAATACCATTATTAAGACATATTTAGAACTATTAACATGTTGTTAAACGTTTTAGAGACTCCCCAAAGCTGCAAAGTGTGAAAATATTAAAAATAAAAACAAATGATATCATATGAGCATACCACTTCGTTAGTAAAGGGTATCTAATGGCTGAGCATCTGTTCAAATTAATTATATTTTCATTTTAAAAGTAAAAGAAATGATTTGCATTTGCAATGCAGAAAAAATTAATTTAACAACTCAGTTGAATTCTGTTGAGGCTCGGCGGTTTTATTTCATTTTCTTCTTCATCTGAACATTGCGTATACGCAGTGTTAGCAGATGCATAGAACTGCCTACCCCAAACTTATTGGACTTGCTTTAAATATAATTCTTTTCTCAAGTTCTTCGTGGTGACGATTACAATTCACGTTTAACATGATTTCATGCCAATATATATACTAAGTGCCTATAGAGGAGCTTGTCGACAACTTTGCATTCGGAGCGTTTCACAATTTGCCGCACAATCGCGTTTATTTATCAGTGAATTTATTCAAGCGCTCATGGGCTAGCCCAGTAGAAGAAGAAGTAAACGTCTGACTGTCCGTCTGGATGTCCCTTTGAACTGTCGCAATGTTATTCCCATTTAATCAGTAAGAGTTCAATTTCAGGCCTTATCAAGCTGAAAGAGTGCGGAATTGTCATCATCTGTTTACTTAACATGCCTCGATCTTTCACTTCAGATTGTTTGTGCGGCGTCTCATGAATTTTAAGTTGGCTTCAAATGAACTGATTAAATGAACCGTAATACTAAATAATGGCATTGAGAGTATCGGCGAATCTGCTAATTCAAGATCATTTTTGAATTCCCTTCTCTGACGTCGTCTGATTTTATTTGTGAAGTAAATTCAAGCTGTGGTTTACTATAATATAATAAATTAATATGGTATATATGTATGGGGAAATATATACAAATTCTCATATAAATTAAATAAATTTAATTAGTTTTTATAATTTATATTTATTGACACTATTATATAATTCGCATTCATTTCATATCGTGTACTCATATTTGTGAATGTTCTATTTACATAGAGTCAAGTTAACTGACATTCAAATTTAATTATTTTATATTGTAAAAAAGTATTTAATTATTATACCCTGAACCCATTGAAAATGGGAAATCAGGGTATAATGGTTT